AATAACACATGTTGGCTATTCACATGCCATGTGTCTCAACTGCTCGTTTGTAGTAGGGCTGTAATTAATCAAAGACATTTTTGGTCAACTAATGTCTGGTCATTAGTTGACCAGACATTAGTTGGTCAACTAAGTTTTGACCAAAAATCACAAAAGGCTAAAATATAAATATTGAGCAAACCACTGAACATTGAACAATGTGGACGCTCTTCAATCTTCCTGTCTCCAGCCAGTCTCCAGTGGGTTGGGTGAATCCAAAATGGTGAAAACAAGGGGGGTGTTCTGAGACAGACTGTGAAACAGGGGTGCTCTTAAAACACCCACATTAGCATTTGGTGCGTTCCTCCTGATGAAATTAACCATTGACTCTAAAAAAAAATTTAGTTGACCAATCAGAATTTGGGTGAATTCAGCAGGTATAGACCAGTAAGGCAACCAGTCAATTAGGACTTTACAGCCCTATAGCTGCGCCGAGTGGACATTAAGGATTTCCTCAGACTCATATTCAGACCTGAGTCATTTGGCCAAATGTGACTCATTGCACTTTTCAAATCAAAACTGAAGTGTTCGCTTTTGTCAGTGACATGAGGGCGGATAAGTTAGAAACACATTTTCAGTCTTGAAGATAAACACAGTGAGACATTCTTCATTACGTTCAATTTTTTACAAACAGGAGGAACATCTTGAGTAATCGGTTGTCATTTATCATTATGCGTGGGCTTTCTGACGTTTTCAGATCAGTAAAAAGTTCAGAGGGTTTAACCTGAGTCATCATGGTCTTACTATAAACTAATCCCACAACATTTGACATTTCCGTGGACCTCTTCATAAAGGCATCAGGGCAGCGTCGGATGTTCAGCTCTTTGTGTCATAACTCCACATCGACACTCGAGCAGGCAGGGGATCAAACGCTGGCCTCAGAGGAGAGGAGAGGGTCACAGAAACACAAAGTAGATGTGAGCAGGGATGTTTGGGAAGAATAAAAAGGCCAGGAGTGTAAAAGTGGCCGGGGGGGAGAGTGTTGAATGGACATGGGGGAGGCGGGTGAGGTGGGTGGGGGGGTGATGTGTGCTGACAATCTGTGGAGGAAATAGAGGACTGGAGTGAAGTGAGGGGCAGGTTGCTCAAGTGGTTGCTTTATTGAACCAACGTCTGTTATCTCGGCTCTCTCACACTGAGCGGGAGGAAAAAAAGAGACCCGCTGAAAACACACTCCTGCTGTATGTGCTCACAATGTGTGCATACAACAGTGTGTGTGTGTGTGTGTGTGTGTGTGTAACTAAGGTTTGGGACATTTCTCAGAGGTGAGGTCACTTTGCTGCTCCTTTATTCAACTGAAAGATAATTCAGCTGCATTTGAAACCATGAGTAAGATAGATGTGGAGTTAACTTAGAATATCCTTTTTTTTTTAAGTACACGATAAAATTGTACAAGTTGTGACTGAAGTTAGAGTCTACAGACCCCACTAAACCATACGTTTAACAAAGCTAAATTGTAACCTAAGGTGTATGTTTGCATTGTCACACCATGAGGATATGAGGCTCATCTTAACAAGTAGACTGTCCAAACTAACCAACATTTTGTTACAGATAGGATGTTTACCCTTCTAGGATCTGATCAGTGAAAGCTCTCTCCTTGTGTAAGTGTTAACTCTAATGCCAGACTGCCTCTAAACAGGCGAACAGCTGAAATTATCTATACTCTTGCCGCTTGACTAACAGCAGTGGAAACGTCTGTGAAATATGACAAAGCTTGATGATGAGGAGGACTTTACACCAACTCAGAGCGAGGTGAAAGATTTAGGTTGTAACTTCTGCTTATGCTGAAACTTTCTCCGCTGGCACAACCAAAAACATCAGAAGAACTGCTTTTATACCCAATCATGGCTCCCACCTGTTCCCAATTCGCCTGCTCACCTGTGGGATGTTCCAAATAGGTGTTTGATGAGTATTCCTCAAATTTCTCAGTATTTTTTGCCACCTTTCCCAACCACTTTGGCACGTGTTGCTGCCATGAAATTCTGAGTTAATTATTGTTTTTCAAAAAAAAAAAAAAAGTTTATAAGTTTGAACATTAAATATCTTGTCTTTGTAGTGTATTTAATTGAATATGGGTTGAAAAGGATTAGTAAATCATTGTATTCTGTCTTTATTTACATTTATCACAATTTCCTAACTTCCATGGAATTGGGTTTTGTATATACAGTCAATGGTTCTGCCCCTGGCTTGCCTCAGAAAGCCTCTGGAGAGGTAGCCAATCAGAAGAAAGTGGGCGTGTGGAGGGGGACCTTAAAGAGACAGTAGCTAAAACAAAGTGTTTCATATGCCACTGTGAGAAATTTAAAGTTTTTTTTTATAAATCTGAAAATCACGTAAAGCTATTCAAGAGGAATCAGACAAAATCTGGAGAAAAAAATGCATACCCCCCCTTTAAATTGAAGCTCCCTGGTCCTTTGCCGTGCATGTTTGTGTTTTTTTTTTTTTTTAATTTACATCAGTAGGATTAACTGTATCAGTAGATTTTCCAGATAAATAGAATAAACTTCCTCTGAAATATGGAAAAAAAAATGTGTGTGTGTGTGTGTGTGTGTGTGTGCGTGCATGTGTGTTTGATGGTAAAGGTGAGGCGGTGTGACAGGCCACATGGCAGCAGAGGAGGGGAGGTTGTGGATGGTGTTCAGGTGAAGAAGTGACAAGCTGAAAAAAAAAAAGTAAAAAACGCTCCGGGATGGAAACTCAGGCTGACAAAAAGCCTCACGCAGGAATCCAGTCAGTCAGTTCTGCTGTTCCCAGCACAAACACGCCACATTGCCTTGACACTCCAGGTTTTCCTCTTTGTTGGCACACATCGCCAAAAAACTTTTGGTCTTCTTTCAGAGCAAACGAGGGAAGTAAGCTGACACTGAATGCTCAGAGTCAGCACTTCACAGTTTCTGCTGCCTCAAAACTGCAGTTTGGATTTGAAAAGTTCCTGCCTTTATTTGTATCCAGCATCCTGCATGCAATGCATAACTAAGGACAACAAAGCAAATATAGATAATATCTGCAGAAGTGAGCATTAAAGAGCAGAGTGACCGATTTGGCTTCATGCATAAAGCATTCATGTGTGAGTGTTTGATGATGAGCTCCCATAGAGATTCTCTTTCTATAAATGTGGCACTTTAAAGGCACAATGTGTATACATGGGTGATATTATTGTTTGTTTTGTGTTTTGAACACTTTATTTCCTAAGCCTTTATTTAAAAAATTTCCTACTGCAGGTACATTTTAAGTTACAGATCTCATTAATACAGTTAAGAGTACGGTTAAAGAATGGTTGTGACATTTGCGATATTGTCTTTTCCTTTGAATTGGTCCAACACCAAAGTCCATTGCCCTTCTGTTTTATATTGGCTTTGTGTGTTTTCTTCAATTTAGTGGATGTCTCTTTAATCTAGCCCCTTCTTGCTGTTTTGGCACTGTCCACCCCCTCTTTCCTCTACTTTCCTCTTCTGGTTACTGGTTTGCCATCAACCATGGAGCTTAAACCACTGTGTCATCAGGCAGAGGTGAAATGTGCTGGACTCCTTTCACAGGTTGATTTTATTTGACATGAGGGATGATGTTGTCCCTGTGAACACTTTTCTGTCATGACATGAATCCACATTGTTATGGCGTTGTGTACAGTCAAAATCAAATATTTAATGACTGGGGGAAAAAGAGAGAGAGTAACTTTTCTGTCCACTGAGAATTTAACAGAAGCATCATAAGATCCAGCTCTGTCAGTTTGCACAATTTCAATCAAAAGCAGTGTGTTGTTTAAGTGAAACCGTAGGGCTCGAATTTTCGTACCCCGCCGGCAGCATGGCGCAGCGTAAGTCAGGTCCGCCGCACCACAAGGCATGCCCAAGCACATTTTTAGTATTTTGGTGAGCGTCGCAGCCCGGCATCAGTATCCCCCCTCCCTTACTCAGCTCCTCCCAGCGGCTTAAGTCGTAGAGAGAAAGGAGAGAAGGCGTGAAGTGGGTTTAACACAGCAGAGATCTGTTTTCGCTAATCGTATCAGCTCCTCTCCTCACCTTTGAATCCGCCACCGGCGAGGCGTATAACTATTTTCGTGAAGTAGTTAAAGAGATCAAGAGATGTCTGAAGACAGTAATGCCACACGATGGCGACAGAAGGCAGCCCCTCAACAAGTGTCACTGTAAGCGCTGCAGAGGGCGACCTCCACACTCTCTCATATGAGCACAGATGGATTTGGTGTGTGTAAGTTTGGACCCACTGGTAAGACTAACACCTTTTCCACAAATAAAGACAATCACATAAAGTTGCATATATTTAAACCTCACGTGGCAAAGGTGGGTTGTGCGCACAGATCACAACATAAATTCCAATAATGGCATTAAAATCTGAACCATCTGTGCATAATGACGCATTGCGCTCCGTGGCCTGGCTCTTTCTTTCATAGATGTTGGCATATAAAATAAATTTGGTTCACAAAACTCAATATCATAATATTCGTATGTCGGCTTAAAGTAAATAACTCATCTGACCACTGAAACAAATCATCTGTTCAGCTGCTGCAGCAGGATGGGGAGAGGACACGGAGACATGTCCAGGTCGAGCTGCACGAGAAATAAGAGGAAGACACACTAGCCCATAGTGTGAAAATGAGCCTTTCTGTGGGTGATTCTCCTCCTCTGTCTCACATCCCAGTCTCATTTACTGAAGTTAAACATAAGTGAAAGTTGACACCTTGTGTGAAAAATGTGTCTATGATTTCCTGTACTCTGATATGTGAAGCTGCACTTGGGTATTTTATCATTATGTTACTTTCTCACCTGTAGGTCGGTATGGAAGCTGGATGATAGTTGGGGGATATGAAAGGATGTGATGTTTTCAGGTGAATTCTCACTTAAGACAGGGGTTCATGACTTCATCTACTCCACAGCAATGTTCTGCTCTGGAGCTGAGAGGAGTTTTTCTGATGTTTTTGTGATTTCAATACTGTGTTAATGTTAATTAACAAATATGTGTTAATTATCAAGTCTGATTGGTCAAAACCTCCAAAACAATAGGTACTGAATCTTCGTATCATATCAGATGAACCTGCAGACAGGAGTCCAGGTCATTTTTACCTCTGCCTGTTGACCCTGTGGCAAAAATGTCGGAGTGTTATCCCCAATTTCCACCTCATCCAGAATGGCGGCGAAAACGCTGTATGCGCCAATCGCAACTGATTGTTTACATTCAAGTTAATGTGTCAATTTCCACCGGCTTCGTTCCGCTGTGGTTCAGTGGGCTCCGCAGCCAATCGCCAGTGTTCTATTTTTTCTGGATGCCACAGCATGCCGCGTTTAATTTTAAGTCCCACAGTCCACTAATGTTGACACATTAACAGCAATACAACAGTCCTATGTAAGGTAAATTAATGCAGAGAAACTACTTCATATATTTAGCATGACAAATGTTGGTCATGCATTTCAGCACTTCTCCCATCTTGTGACACATTTTGGTTTTTAAAGAACAGAAGGCATCTTTGAAAAATTAGCAGACGTTTTCAGAGGATGTAGAGGTGAACTTAAATATGCCAGCGTCACGAACAATCTTTTTGTTTACCTATCAAGGCACCTGAATTATTGGTCGGTTGACTGAAAAGGTATTTACAACTAAAGGCCTGATATGCCGGTCAGACTGTGTTGTGTCTGAGCTTTCACCTGCAATTAGCTGAAGCTAAAGCTTGGTTATTCTGTGCCACCATAATGCTCTGCACTACTACCTGTATGTAGAAAAGCAGAGCATGCCCCTCACAGAGGAAAGTAAATTTGACAGTTTTTTGCAAAGCTACATGACACCAAACAGAACTTTGAATTTCCCTTTACATGATCAGGGAATGACTCACTAAGAAATGACCTTAGTTTATTTATTCATTTATTTAGACAGGACAGTACCAGTTCATGGACAAGGAGAAGAAGACATGATAAAAGAAACATGTATGTCTATTCTCATTGTAAACCAGCCAGAGTTAGCTAAGGCTAATTTCCATCCGTTGTCCTTAGTTTATAGGTAGACCCAGCTGATTAAGCCTTGTGTGATCTTGATCTTGAGTTAACCCGACCGTAAACATCTGAAACCAGCTCCCAGTGCAGTGTCTTCAAATGCCATCATACTACAGTCTGTAAAACCATGCAGCATGGTAAACTAAAACTCTAAACATAAAGAGGTTTGCCACATCCAGCCTGTATTTGTGCCCCACACATGCCTGCAGGCAACAAGCAAGAGTCCCTTAAATCAATACTTGAGCTAATTGCTGTTGGAGCTGAATAGAGGAGCCTGGGTTACAGCAATAGGATCAATGTTTATTGTGTGGATGAGCCAACAATTGTGCCTGAATAAACTCAAATTAGAGTATTTTTGCCTGATTTACATATGAGTGGCAGCAGGACAATGGATATAATCCTTCCATGCTGGGATGCAGGTGTAAAACAAAACAGCGTGGGGACGTCTTTTAAGGTTATTAACAGGAAGACTAGTGTTATAAGACAGCAGCATGCTGGGCTAAGTATGGCGCTACGTCTACACGGCCTGAAGTAAATCATGCCTTCCTCCACACAGAGAGCAGCAGAGATTAACAACAGAGGTGGATGGATTATGTGAAGCAGGGCTGCAGTTTTACAAGTTTCAGTAAAAACAATCATCTTTAAATAAATACATCTTAAAAAACTCAATTTGGGCAATTTGAGCTTATGTGGTCTTTAATTTAAATGGCTAAATAAAGAAGTGTGAAAATAAAACTAAAGAGTCTAAAGAGAGACTGGATGTACATGGATGGCTTAATTCAAATTATGGGTGACTGATGAGAATAATGTGATTTGACAAGCAGGACAAAGTGACAGGATGCTACAAAAAAGTGGTCTTGATTTTGAGTAATGGTTTTATTGTTTTTTATTGATATTGTCTGATATATTCAAGAGGTCCCTTTTGGTACTAAGACATGCTGCTAACGCTGTAGTGCACAAACTGCAGCTCTTCAAATGTCCTCCACTTGAGGTTTGCTGCAAAGCCAAGAATCCCCAGTAGTTCTCATGATCAGATATTGATTTTTACAGCAGAGTTAGTCCTGTTTACAGCAACATTCAAACAGCGATTTTATCGTTCATACCTGTGTTTGTAAAGGGAATCATTTTCTTTATAACATATACTGTAAGAAAATGTAAGGGCTTAAAGTTTAGTATGATTTTGCATTATGCAAAGATGTAACAATCAAACCTGTCTGGGTTTGTTGATGAATATGTTTGGGAGAGCATAAGGGCCAAATGTGAATGGAAATATATTTTGTTTCTTCTTATTATTTTTTTTTTTCTGTTTAACCAATTTTTCCTTCGGCTCATTAAGTTTAAATTTTGTGATTTGAATCGGATTCCTTGCTCTTTTTTGTTTGTTTGTTTTGTGTAGAAAAGCATAAATAAAGTGATTTATAAGATAGAGATTACTTGTGCCTTATTAATGAAGTCACCTGGTAGTTTTTTGAAGTAAAAATGTGACATTTAAAAGCACAGTGGCATCATTATGCTCCATTACTGAGACAGCAAGAAGCTGGAAGACACAGCAGTAGCTAAACTACAGTGAGCCAAATAGGACAAAAAGGCAAAAATATATTTTAGGTTTTGTAGGACCTTTGTATTAGATCTACTTTTGTTTTAAAAAGATCATTTTAATTGTGTTTATTTCCATTTTTTTTCTTTAAAAATGTAAGACGTTATTCTGGTAAATCAAAGCCCTTTTTCTCATAATTTCTTACATCGTGTAGATTTCTGACATTTTCTCATATTTTTCTCCATGTCAATCACAAAATATTCTACTTTTAACATCATGAAGTAGTCTCATTAAATGTGCTTTACTTCTTAACTTCATTTTCTCATTGTTTTTTATTTTTTCAACTTGGAAAATTCATTTCCTTATAAAATGTTTTGTGTTACAACATTGTCTTGTGAATTTCTTCTACCCTGAAAAACATTTCCTTCAATTTTTTCCATTAAAGTACAATATTTTTCTCACTAATACCTCTGACATTAATTTACGGTTGGGATAACTTTTCTTCCTATGATTCTTTAACTTAAATTTGGACACTCTCTTTTGACATTAACTCAAAATTTAAAGGTTTCTGGTGATAGTGGGACTTTTTTTCGTGAACTTACCCCTTTAAACTTGTAAATTTATGAATTCCTTAAAGAGAAAGTCTCTTATGATTGATTTGCAAGTGCATTTTTGCCTCTTTAAAGTAATAAATTAATGAGTTTTTAAAGTTAATTTAAGTTTTTTTAAGTACCTGCATCCTTTGTAATGTGTTCAAGTTTGAAAATACCAAAAAATATTTGTTGTAAAAACAAACACAAAAGTCACACCTTCAACTGATGTCTATGTGCCATCTGGTTTTCCTCTCTAAACTTGATCCGAAAGATGATGTCTTTAATTTTGACGGTCAACACCAACATATACTTTTCAGAATAACTTTGATCATCTCTGTAGCGTCAGGAACACTAAAGATTCATAAACAAACTGCAGCAGCTGCACAGTGAGGGAATCCTGCAGCTGTCTGACAACAATGATGACAGTAGTCATGCGGTAATTATACCAATATTAATTTTATTCTGCGAGTTGCCCACTGCACAGCCCCTCCCCCACAGTAAGGTGAACTGGCCCTGCAGACACATGAATTGAACGCGGCCCTTGTCGCGCACTGAGGAGCTGCTGCTCATTGTGGCTCTCAGCGCCGAGGATTCCAGCGAACTCCTTGCAGGCCTGCGCCTCTTTAGAGTAGAAAAAAAAGCCTCTTTTCATTTGTCCCTGTATACCTCTGTCCAGGCTAAGTCTTTTTCTCTCCCAACTCTCCCTCTTTAATCCGTCCCTCTATTTCAGGAGGAGAAAAAAAAAACACAAAACCAGGTTCACGCAGTGCTTTAGTGGCTAAAAGTGAAAGAGCTTGTGTTTTTTCTTTCTTTTTTTTTCCTCTCCTGCGCTGAGTTGAGCCTTGAATCGCTCTGGAAAATTGCTTCTTTTCAATAGAGGGAAGGAGGAACAGCGTTTAATGGGATCCAAAGGAAGTCTGCGCTCTTTAACAGGTGGAAACTGGACGTCCTCGAATTTATACAAATAGTAAGAAAGTAGATGTAATCCGGTGTGGAAAAGAAGGGATCCCATCATCTCAGGGGATTACTAAAAATATTTCCCAAAGTGTCAAAAGAAAAGAAAGCAAAAGGAAGCCAAGCTTAGAATTTCTGCAAACACACACATACATGATCATATTTCTGCCTTGTTTGGTGACATTTTTGCGCACGGATGACATATGGTGGCCTTAAAAAGCTCGTGCCAGCCCCTGTGCAGATTTATTGGAGAGAGAGAGAGAGGCTGGCAGGTTGATGAGGGCGTCTCCCTGTCACCCAGTTAAGAGTTCGGGTGTGCGCTGATGTCAGGAGACAGTGATCCGCGCTGATGAGGGGCGGGTGCTGCCACTGTGTGACAGAGAGCAGTCGGCTGGTTTCTCTACACCCACCCGACCATTAAAGAGCTAAACTCCAACACAGACTCAACTTTACGCTCCAGCATCCTCCGGGAGCTCCGACTTCGACATTTTTCTCTTTTTTTTTCTTCCTCCTCTTTTTTTCTTCATCTCTTCCCAAACGACCTCAGTAATGTCCTGTTAATTTTGTGTGCACTAGTTAATGAGCATTAATCCATCACCCCTGGATGCTATTGTTGCAGGGGGGAATGGCCATTTGAATGCAAATGCGTGACACTGTGACAGCAAGGTGCTTATTAAACTGATGTGTCCTCCTGTCTGTGGAGCCGGGAGCTGAGCAGAGTGAAAGGACGCGGGGGCAGCTGCAGGAGCGGGTCGGACTAAAGCACCGGGAGTTGCTCACGCCAAGTTTCTGCTCTGCTGCAAACAAAACAACAACAACAACAACAACGACGACGACTACTACTACTACACAAACAACATCGACAATAAGATGGCAAGTTCTGCCTCTGTGGAGACGGTGATGTCCTGTGGGAGGACCGGAGCCTCCGCGGCTCCAAAGACCCTGGCCTTCTCCATAGACCGGATCATGTCCAAGAGCTCGGAGCCGAAGAGGAACGCCGAGGAGCGGGCAGAGGGGAAGAAGCTGCTCGGGCTCTGCTCCCCGATCCCTTGCATGATCCCGCTGCAGCCCTTCAGTTACGACCTGCAAGCCAAGGCGCTGATGAACTACTCGGAGTTGTGGAGAGCCAGTTTCAGGGGGACTTTCTGCGCTTCTGCAGCCGCGCCGTGCAAAGGGAATTGCGGTATGTGCGGCAAAGCGGATCCGGGTTTGAAACAGCCGCTGTTGACATCAGGGAGCAGGGTGGTGAAACCGCAGGTGATCCACCAGGCGGTTGCCGTGCCCAGCGGAGGCTCTCTCTACTATCTCAACTACCTGGACTCTGCGTACCAGCAGTCGGAGCTGCTGGCGGGACACTGGTTCTCCAGCTCGCAGGCCCAGGCCTCCCTGTCCGCGCACCAGAGACTCTTACTGCTTGAGAACGCCAAGCTGGCCGGTGTGGGGGCCGAGAAACTGCCCACCCCTCAGTACCCGCACAAGGAACATCTGCCCGGGCAGCTGGACCAGATCGTGAAAGAGAACCACGGCCTGAGCGCGGAGAAGAACGGAGTCAAGACGCACAGCAAACTCAGCAGCAGCCCCGCAGACGGAAAACCCAAAAACTTCACCTGTGAAGTGTGTGGAAAGGTACACTCATTTTTGTTTGTTTGTTTGATTCATTTGTTTTGATTTGTTTATGGCTCGTGTCTGCCTGATCTGTGGGTTTGATTAAAAATGTAAATGCTGGAAATACTTATTGCAAAGCGTTTCCAGATGTGTCAATTTGAAGTGGCTACATTTACTAAAATCGTATAACTCAAATTAAATTGTGTAACCTTTTTAAATATTCAATTTAAACCAAGAACATTAAAGGAATCAATAATACTGACTCTCAACTATCATCAATCCAAATATCTAAAGGGTTTAATTTTGTGCGCGAAGGTTTTGAGGGTCTTTCAGGTTAAAATTTCTGTTTTCGTTCCTAGAATTGAAGCATATAAAATAAACGTAATTTGTTTGGTCTTTTCAGGTTTTCAACGCGCATTACAACCTGACCAGACACATGCCGGTGCACACCGGGGCCCGGCCCTTCGTCTGCAAAGTGTGCGGCAAAGGATTCCGGCAGGCCAGCACGCTGTGCAGACACAAGATCATCCACACGCAGGTGAGACGCGACGAGGCGATCATTGACTTCAAATCTGCTGCATCTTCTTCTTCTTTTTTTTTTTTGTTTGTACTGATCTTTATCTGTCCAATTCTTTTCTTCTTGCTCAGGAAAAACCTCATAAATGTAACCAGTGCGGGAAAGCCTTCAACAGAAGCTCCACTCTCAACACGCACGTACGGATCCACGCCGGATACAAACCTTTCGTCTGCGAGTTCTGCGGGAAAGGTTTCCACCAAAAAGGTAAAGAAATATTCCTCCTTCATTTAATCTCATGTGTGGAGTTAAATGCGCATCAACTATTCCACCTGCGCAATTACGCAAAATTCCACCAGAATTGAGTTCAGGCTGATTTCTCTGGGTTGACTCTTAAAAATATTATAACAATCCGATAATAAATCGATGGTTTTTCTCGCTGTGGTTTGTCCCTTAAACCGAGAAAATCAAAGCATTATTTTGAGGATTTTCTGCAGCTTAAATGTTATTTTAATTCTGAGACTTTCGGTTATTTGTGGGATTCATTCAACTTTTTTTCCGAAGTTGAATTTAATGAATTTCTTTCATGTTTTTCTTCGCATCTGTTCATCTTTTTTTTTTTTGCTCTTTGGGGGTCGTGAGAATTTCTTGTTAAAAAAATTCCCGCTCAACTCTTTGAAATGACCAAGAACTCCGGGCTCACTGTGTGCCAAAAATGCGCATTGTGCATCGGAATTCCTTTTGGTGAAATTCACTTTCCTCGTTTCTTTGCCCCGGGACTGAGACTTGCAGAGATAAAAAAAAATCTTATTTTTGAGACTAATTTGGCTTGGTGAATGAGGATTATTTCTGTTAACAAAGACAGTTGTGGAGTCCGTGAGGGAGGCAGTGGTTTGGATGTGTTTGTGTTTGCATTCCGGTGCTGCTGCTGCTGCTGCAGGGACTCATCGGAGCTGCAGAAATCAAAAATCAGCACTAAAAGCAGAAGCATATGTTTCTGCTGCTGCTGCTGCTGCTGGAGTGTTCTGTGAGGGTCTAATGAAAAAAAAAGGGGGAATAATTGCAGGCCCTGCGCTGAGGCTGAAGCGATCAGTGGAAATAGGACATGTCACTTTACACGGACTAATTCTCCCTCTGAGACGGCAGCATTTGCTCTGGGTCAGCTGCTGCAGACCTCGGCACAGTCAGAGGAACCGGGCCGGTTTTTGTGTTCACTTGTCGCTTGCGCTTGATTTTGACAAAGTTTGACAACTTCTTGACTTCGACACACAAAAGCCTGATTAATGAAGGCTGGGCAGAGCGGAGGGACGGACGGAGGAGGCTCTAACTTCACGGTGAACTGCTGACCTTGGCGGGGAGAGAAAAGAGGAGAGGGGAGAGATGGGGGGACTCTTTCATCCTCACTTTCTTTTTCGTCTTCTTCTCCATGCAGTAAACAGCGCAGTTGCTCTCTGCTCCTCCTGCTTTCATTCAACTCCCACTTCAAATTCACAGAGGAAAGACCAAACATCAGTGTGTGAAGTTACAGTAGTTTCAAATCAAGTGGCACCTTTGAGTTGGCTTTGCAAAAAAGCACAAAAAGTGAAATATTCAGGTATCGTGGCCGCCCCAAAGTCTGATAATATAAAAGGAGACTGACTGTGCAGCTGCAGTGCTCATTTTTATTCATTCAGCAAGACCCTTCTTGATGCCATTCTTAATCCTAAATTGAATATGCAAGATTGGGTTTGGTGCAATAAAAAAAAAGTATATTTTTACTGTTCTTCTCATTTCTAACAATGATGGAAGGAAAGAAACATATAAACTGTAATCCAGCAGCTTTTTAAAATTTAAAACTTTTAAAGCTCGTCTTCACTTTTATTTCCTAATGAAGGCATGCACTTTTTCTACTCTACATAAAATCTGTCACTTTTGAGTAAAAACTTGAACGAAACCCGCTGAGTGGATAATAGCTTCTCTGCAAAAAAAAAGTGAATTTATCCAGTACTACTCAAAGTATCTTATTTCCCTTAATTTAAGACACTCTGACCTGACAGGTTCAAATATAAATCTAATTACAAGAAATTTCAGGCCAAAATTGTCCTAATAAATCCTTTAAATGAAGTGCTATGCCCTGAATCAAGAAACTTATTTAACACATTTTTTACTCATCACAGTAAACTAAATCCACATGCAGGACTGCACAAGTGCACAGGGACGCGGTCTACAAAGTGCAAAATCGTCAAAAGATGCACTTCACCCTGTATGGCGCAGAGTCAAAACCACTAAACAAATTGATGCTATCGGCTACAGCGCATTTAGTTTGGAAAAACAAGCTTTTGGCACAAGTCTAAATCTCCTTTTCTCCTTTGCCAAGTTAATGCAGAGAGCATTTAGTTTCTGCTTCAAACTGACAGAATGAGGGTTTAAATTCAGGGTGAGTAGATTGTCCTTAAAGTAACAGTGTTTTCACTTGAGGAGGATTTATTAGTACTCTTTTCACAATGACAAAAGCAGATCCTGACCGATCAAACAAAGACAACTCAAAATGAATGGATATGCAGCTACTGTGCAAAAATGTCTCTACAGTGGGGCTCAGTTTCATAGGGGGACTGCTTTGAAATCTGGTTGGGACTACCGTGAAAACACAGAGTCAGTGTGAGTCTGATCCAACAACCAGAAGACCCCTCTGTTAGAGCAGCAGCAGCAGCAGCAGCAGCAGCAGCAGCAGCTCTCTACTATAAGCAGACGGTTCTCTATGAATCACTCTGAACACAATCACAAGAGTTTCAAACTGGATTCTGATTTTAACCTGAAGTCGGGAGGATGACTTTGTCAGGAGGCAGGTCAAGGAAGTGTTGGTGAGATAGATGAGGAGGGAACTGCAGTAATCTGAGACGAAATAAAAGCTTGATCATCTCACAATCAAATCAAGATCAACTCTGGACATGAATGACTTCTGCAATATGCACCAAGTGATAAAACAAGGAGCAAACCCCACCAGACTCGCGACCTAGACCTGCAAAGTCGTGCGTTGTCATGCAAAATTATTCTTGGGAGAAAGTTTGTGAAACATTTTGAGATGTGTCACCTGGTCTTAAGTTGTTGGAACATGCAGATTTCTCTGTTGTGAGTCAGGATTTATTAAAAGACATGGTCTTGGGCTCTGAGAAGTCATGTGAGACTCTTTTCTTTTCAGTTAATTTTTTGTTTAGTTCAATTAGGAAATAAATCAGAATCGTAGTCGGATTTATTTGTGAGGTCTGAGTGTATATGCAAGAATTTGACTCCTTTTGCACAAGCAGTGAGCGTAAACTAGCAAAATTTGCACAAAACATTAAACTATTATGTGCAAGATGATGTGCAATGTTTTGAGTGCAAAGGATGTATGCAATAAAGTTACACATGGCTCATCAATTTTTATAACATATAATCTGACAGTAGTGGTAATGCTCTTCTCAAAAACATCTTTTCCTCGTCTCATGTTCTTGTTCACTTTCTTCATTTCTTAGGAAACTACAAGAACCACAAGCTGACGCACAGCGGGGAGAAGCAGTACAAGTGCTCCATCTGCAACAAAGCCTTCCACCAGATCTACAACCTGACCTTCCACATGCACACGCACAACGACAAGAAGCCCTTCACCTGCGCCACCTGCGGCAAAGGCTTCTGTCGCAACTTTGACCTGAAGAAACACATCAGGAAGCTGCACGATAACGCGTACAGCGCAGCCGCGGAGGCCTCTAGAGAGCTGCAGAGCTGAGGCACGCTGCTGCTCACCCCCCCACAATGCATCTCTGCAATCCAGGCAATAAATAAACTGGCCGGTGTCCTGCTCTGAACAGTTTTTAAAAGCACAGGTGGGACATCCTGTTTGGTGACACTGAGCAGACCAGAAGGTACAGCAGACACACTCTACACACACCACCAGAGTATAAAGAGGAGAGGACCCCCTCCATCTCCACGATGGACGTGTAAATAATAGGCTATGAAATAAAGAATGTTATTTAAAATGTGAATCATTGCCATGTTGTGTATTTCACAGACAAAAAATGTTAATGTGAATAAGTTATAACTTATAAAGAAAACTGAATGTTTGAGCCATGTCGTTTCTGTTTTTTGAAGGTATTTGAAAATAAATCTTCATGATATTACTTTTTTGTTAATCGACTTTTCTTGTGTCTGCTTTTTATGATTGTCCTAAGACATTTTATCCAAAAATGCAACTTTTTTTTTCTAAAAGGGGGAAAACAGGTTGCCATATGGTCAATAAAGAAGAATTAAGACACAAACAACACAAAACAACTCATTAAACAAAGACACAGACAAACATACACTTTAAATGGTATAAAGGAAACAGCAAATGTCTGTTCTGTTTATTGAGTTAACGTTTTCTAGTGTGCGCCGTAAGTATTTTTGTTGATGAAGAACTTTCCATTTGCGCTTATTCTGGCGCCCCCTCTGGACAAAGCAGTGTTTAAAAAGCAGGTCGTCCACATTTGTAACTTGTGTTTCTTCCTTTGTAAAAATGCTGCAGTTAAATTAATTGGTCGACTCCTCCCCTCGGCGGTGGTTTCTGACAGTAAAAATAACTCTAAAGTAACAGTATCTCCTCTTGTTAACAGTCTTATTTGCTGCTTTTGGTAATAAAGAAGTGTCACTATTAATTGTAATGTATTTTATGACCTGTTGAAACTCCAAACAGGAGCTTTAATTACATTTTGCAAATGTCTACTGAGGACAACAGGATCTAATTTTGTCTCGGAAACCTTCAGTGCATTCAACATTTCTGTAACAGAGGTGCACCTTAAAAATGATAACACAGCCGAGCTCCAAAATAATCGAAAATATGAAAAAAATATATGTCGTGTGGACAAAAAGATAATGCTAATGAGCAAACCAGAAACTACTCTTGTGTAAACAAAGTAATTATATTGCATTGTATTGTAATTGTTTTCGCACTTAACATAATTGCCCACATCACAGTTATCTTGTGTGCACAAGATAACCAACTTGTTTCTTTGTGTTCTTGCAAGGTAAGAACTTGTTTGAAATGTGTGGAAATTATCTTGTTTCTGGGACATTATAACTTGTTCCACATAAAAAATAATATTGGGTGTAAAAGATAACTTACTCTCACAGAAAAAAAAATGTCCATAAAACACAATCACATTCTGTAAACAGGATATTTAGAAAGACAAGATTATTAGTGTTCTCACAAGATAATTAGTAGTTATTATCTTTTGCACAGAAAATCATAACTTGAGCAAACAAAATAATCAGTTTTACACATAAGATAACTTATCTCTACAAGATAACTGCATTGTTTGGTCAAGTTATTGTCTTGCACATAAAAAAAAATATTAAAAAAATTATATTGAGCAAACGAGATAATAATCTTGTCAGTCGACATCATACATGCCTTTGGTCTGAGACATATTTATTGTTCACTTTCTTTAAAAACTGATAGAAATTATTAGACTTTTATTGTGAAGCGTCTGTATTTAGTATTTAAGAGTGCAGGCATCTGTCTGAACTAAACTTTGTGGGTCTTTTATTTTGAAGTGTTGCTAGAAAGCCACATATAGACTCAGCCTGGCTCCTCTGTAGACTCTGCAGCCACTTTGCTTCAACATTTATTGACAGACACGATCTTGATAATGCTGCATTTACACTTGACTCGCGTATAATGGCGCAAATGATCAGAGATAACATGGGCTCTTGAAAGTGAATTACATTAAGCAGTTAAACGGCCTGGGGAGGCTTGATTGGGGACTGTCTCATCCGGAGCCGCTCATCAGAGGCGGAGATAATGGGGCACTCAGGCCGCAGCTCCTCATCTGGGCCTCCGCGCTAATAGAGCACAAGTTATTCTCCTCACGGCTCCTGGAACAATATTATCCCTGCACACATTCTGTCGAGAGGCAGCTCCGTGCTCCCAAATGGCGCTCTTTCTATTAACAGCCAATTAGCGCGGAGCCGGGCCGGCAGGCCTGCAGAGGCCTGGCACGGCTGATATTACCAGACTCAGTCCTGCTCACCTGGTCCACTCACACTCAGGGCGCGTGGACCCATGGATGAAACCCAAGGAAGCGTGAACATGTGGGCTTGCAGATGCAGGCGACATGAGCCAGTATTGTATATGTCCATGAGGTTGAGAGTATTTTCTAATCTGTTGGAGAAATCTAAACCCCCTCACATACAGATGAAGCTGCAGGTCAGTTTGGAGGAAAGGTGTCTCCTCATGTCAGTGATAAGCAGAGCTGATAATTAGGGGGGATAATACGAGCAGCATGCTAAGACTGAAGAAATAGTGTTGCATGTCACTTCCCTCCCCTCTGCTCATGAGGTCCATCCTCTGTCACTAACAAATCACTAAATAGGCCTACAGCTTGAAACATTTGTCTCTATCATCTCCACACACAAGCTCCATGCTGCTGACGCTCTCTCCACAGAGGCCCCTGACTGTGATACGTGAATAATCCACTCATATTAAGAAAAAAAGGTAAAAAAAAGGGAAAAAAAAACAACAACATTTGAGTCATAATTTAAGAATTCACCCCGAAAAAAACACAAATACTCAAATTCATGTATTTGTCATATTTGAAATATTAGGACTATTTGTAGGCCAGAAGGCAGAGCTGCACACTAAGAAACAGAAACTTAATCATCTAATAACATGAAAAACACACACAGGAACTCTCAAATAAATACACTCTTTCTGTTTGCACATTTAACCACGAAGAATACCAGCAAAATCACAACATGTCTTTACCAGCTATTATCAGGACCTTATGAAAAAACACCAAGCATTCAATTTAAATGCAATATGAATGTCTTAAATAGTATTTCAGTTCAACCTTAACAAGAACATTTAGAAAAAAAAGTATTTTAGTTTCTGTCAGGTTAACAGCTTGATGATCTTGATTGAGCTCAAAGCAGTTTTAAAGCTTTCCATCTGTGCGGATTTTGGTGGGCTAGTTTGATGCTGTTCATGTGTAAGTTGTGTTTTCTAACTTCAATCTCATCCCGCTTCATTGTAACAGTGAGATGTATCATTTCTTTCTGTGAGTATCTGCTGATAATAGCTTTGTTATCATGGTCTGCCTGCAGCAGTTACAGGTATGAAAAAATGACCACATACTCAATTTCAGAATAATGATCTTGAGGGTAAAACTGCAAAGAACATTTGATCACTAGTGGTTCATAGACTCACTCAAAGATGGTGAGAATGTGGAGAAATCTCTGTGCCAAAAAGAGCAAGGAGCAGCACTACACGGCCACGATAGACTCTGTAGTGGAAGTCACCGCATTGAAAAACCTCAAACACGATTCAGACACATCAGCCCAACTTTTTTGGAATTAAAGCTCCTGTTAGGAACTTTCTGTCTCTGTCAACTCCAGCGCCCCCTGTGGTCAAAGCAGTCTTTGGTCATCTTATCCTTGACTTGCTAAAGCGGTGTCTTCTGATCTCACCATTCTGACTTTTGATGGTCCAGTTTATCATTTATTGTGATTTTTTTAATTGTAATATGTAAACAGTGTTGTTTCTTCAGCTGCTTGGTTGACACTTACCCTCCTGCAACAGTTTCAGGCAATAAGAATTATAATATAAACTGTGTCAATCTTGTCGCTAAAGGTCTCATTTGCTTTTGTTTATCCTTAGAAGACATCAAATCAATTTCAGTTTATTTCATAAATGTAAAAAAAAAAACAACTCCCCACAGGAGCTTTAAGGTTGCATGAAAAAGCAGGTAACACATCTCTTTGATTTACAACAGCCAAGTATCATCATGACAGTAGTATAAAGACAGTAGTAGGAGAGTCAGGACTAGGCCAGAATAACTTAATTTAGGGTTAAATCTTCTTTATCAAAATTCTACATCTACTTTCAAACTGGAGAAAAATATCACAGAGCGACCCAAGGTGCATGTGCACCGAGGACAATTCTTTTACCAATGTTCGGACTGCAGCAAACCTCTATTCACAGCTTTCTGTGTATATATTTTTGAATAGATAATGTAATAATTCCTGAATAAATTTGAACATTTTTGGATTTTTGATCAAAAAATATCATGGCTCACAAGACAGCCTTAATTGTATCTATCTTTGAGCCCTAAGGTCCTTACACACTGGGAACAACGCAAATATTCCACACAAAATTATTAAATATTCAGAGGCAAATTTTGACGCGCCTGACTATACACATCAAGCACAATGCGATTTTGCAGTGAAAATACATAGGGTATGTTGTAGCTGAGCAGGTTAGCTTACGAGCTAAAGTGACTTAGCGCATATGAAAGTTTAAACAAAGACATTTAGCAAACTGTTAAAGCACACAAACCATCGTCATACAAGAACTCAAATGCTATGACTCTCCACAGGTTGTCCTTCAGGTCATTATCTTTGTAAAATGTGTGTTTTTTTTTTATAAACACATAAACAATCAGCTGGTCGGCCATGTTGGACATACCGGTGAATCAGACATAGCAAAAACACGAAATCTGATTGGTCAGAAGTGGACACACAGTATGCGAAACTTCAGAAAATTCGAGCGTGATCTGAAAAAATAAATGCTGCAATATTGCAAAACGGGAAAACGTTGCTGATGTGAACGCTTGAATTGACAGGATACGGGTTCGAAAAAAAATATTGATGTCCAAAATAATCGAAAAAAATGCTTCCGGTGTGTAAGGACCTTTAAAGTTAACTAAAATAGAGTGATAAATTAACACCAGTAACATATGAATTGTATGTAAGGGTTGAAGTTACATTGTATTAGTTATGTATTATAGCTATTATTGATCATTTATGATTAAAATAAAAATAGGTTTAAGTTATGCTATAATATATGCCAGCTCATCTGAAAATCTACATTCTTTTTTATTTATTTATTTTCAAATAAATATGACATTTGTCTTAAATTTAAAGGACAGTGTAGAAAAAACAAAAAGCACACACACACACCGACAGACACACAGGCAGGCTGCAGGGCATGAACAACAGTGTCAGAGCAGTAAACAACCTAAAGCCAGGCAGGTTGTGCTTTTTTCTGCTCTTGTTTTTCCTGCACCTTCATCATCTGAGCAACCGGCTCCTCATCCACAAACATGTTAATTGACGAGCGGGAGCTTTAATGAAGGCGCGTACACGCCGGGGGAGATTAGAAGCGGGGGCCGGTGGAGAAGCGGGGGCGCGCGTTAATCGGCTGTCAACAACAGTAAGAGGACATCTTTCTTTTGCTCCCTCCGCCACCGGGGGATCACCGGGGGATTCAGGCAATTTAAGGCCCACAAAGGAGCTGGTTTGAGACAGGAAGAGAAGAAAAGCGAGAGGCGGACTTTTTGTCTGGCAGCTTGAATTGATTGTAAATGGGAGATTAGCGGGAAGCTTCAGCAGCGGCTCATAAGTGCCCGATCGAGGAGGAACGAGAGAAAGGGACCAATTAAGTCCACCAAATGTTAACTTACATCAGTTTCCCCTCAGTTTAGCCCACATGAAATTCCAATTAAAGCGTCCCCGCACTATGGCAGCCCTTTTTCTTTAGAGAGGAGAGGGTGGAGGGGTGAGGACAGTTTGTGTCATTATACAGCCAGCAGACTGAGTTCCCACAACATCTGATAGCATTACCACAGGCTCTAGATGGGCCATTTAGACAGCAAAACAAGCACGGAATTTACCAGTATTACTCACAGCCTGTATGGATCATTACAGAAAGTGAGTGTTTTACACAAGTACTTTAATTGTGAACAACTTTTAACAAAGTTCATCAGAGATATAGGGTTTAATTGAAGAAAAGCCAAAAAACATCATGATATTCTCAATGAGGATACCATGGTTATCAAGGAGACAGGCTGAAATGGTTAATTAGTCAGAGGAGTGAAAGAAACCAGTTTGTAATAAAGCCCTACTGAGCTGACTGGTGTACCACAGGGATTTGTAGTAGGGCCTTTATTGTTTCTAATTTATATCAATGATTATTGACTTGGACATTTTCTTGGGAGTTGCAATATGGTTCAATTGTAGAGGCTTTCACTAAATATGAAAAAGTTGAATTTCCTATTTGTCAGGAAAGACAGGAAGTAACAGAGAGATTATGCAAAAGTGACAATAAAAGGAAATGAAGTACATAGAAAGACTAATACAATTATTGGATTATGGTGAGTGCAATATCTTTTACAATCTTGCATTGTCATGTTTCTACGGAAGCACAGAATGCACAAAAATGGTTATGTACAAGTTTTTTTACATTACTGATTTGGCCCCAAAAGAAGAAGAAGAAGAAGAAAGGGATTGTCTTGTATTGATTGTCTTTTTTTTGATAACTTGATAAATGGAGGATCACAATTATCATGCATCATTTTCATTTTAGATTGAAACGCTCACTTGCTCACTCCTCTCGCTAATATAGCGATAGAACCAGTGAGGACAAGCTCCTGTGATAATAATTATATAAAAATTGAGTATATCATTTTTATCAAAAGGTGCTTACTGTCCTGGAAGACCACTGTTGTTAATATCTCTAAATATTCACATTTTTACACACTGCTCCCTTTGTGGTTTGTTAAAACACTTTTGCAGCTTTTTGTCCAATTTTCCACCTCAAATTGTGTCAACTTTCAGGGCACAGATTTACAAATTTACAAACTGTCAGACTGGTGCTTTAACAAAATCGCATTTGCCATTAATTTTGTGCATTGAACCTTTTGGGAGTTTGTTAGGGAATCCTTTTGAGTCCCTATTTTTCACCTCATGTTGAATATTTTCCATTGCAAATGCTAACAACATATTAAGTTTCTGCTTTGAGTGCTCCAGACCCTGAAAGCCTCCTCACACCCCTCTTGTTAGGCAAGCTGTGGCCCT